AGCCCAAGAGGTTTTCAGGGGAGAGATCTAAAAGAAAGAAAGAAAGAAAGAAAGAAAGAAAGAAAGAAAGAAAGAAAGAAAGAAAGAAAGAAAACAATATGAGTAATAATTACTGAATCGTGTACATCATTTCAGATCCCTTATCCCCAGAGGTGGGAAGTAACGAAGAAGGCTACAAATGCTTCATTACTGCTAACTTTACTTTCAGGTACCTCTTTTTTGCTCTCTGACACATGTTTTACTTTTTTACTCCCAACAATTTTACAACAAATATCTGTACTTTCTACTCCTTCCATTGTTAAAAAACAGGCTAGGCATGTTTTGCTCAGGCTAAACACACACACACACACACTTCACGAGCAAACATACATATATACGCATATATGACTGTTCTATAAATAGCACACACGCATGTAATGAAGTCTGGGAGTAATAATGTGAAAAACTACAACCTGGGGTTTTTAATAAATACTGTAATGATTATAGTCTAGAGTTTTGCCCATCGTAGGCTTCTACCTCCTGTATACATATATATATATATATATGTATATATATGTTTATGTATATATGGTAACTATCAGAGCACACCTTCCCAACATCAAGACCTATGCATATCACTCATGACAGACTTAAAAGGTCATAACCAACCAGACAGGGGGACTCGACCCTATTTGAAGTTTCAGTTAGCTTTGCACAGGTAGAAATGTTCTTCAAGAGAGTAGTTTATAGAGTTTTTACTGTTTTACTTTGAGTACATTTCAGAGAATGTGGGTACTTTTACCACCTCTGCCTATCCCTTAATATCACAATATCAGTGCACTCCCCAGGGATTGTGTGATAGTATTAGATCAGTAAATCTAGTCATTACCTTGGAAACTCCAAGATACTTCTGGACATCAGACCATATGATCTCATTGCGGTTACACTTCAGGATTTTGCCCTTATGGAAGAGACAGTTCACAGTAAGCTTAACCTTCGGGTTGTCCAAATCTCTTCTGCTTTGAGGTACAATGTGGTCAGGATCGAAGGTATGATGCATCACCACAAGAATAATTGGTTTACCACCTGTAAGATAACAGAACCAAATGAGTGAGAAAATAGATTAAACTTAAGAAAGGAGTTCAGTTTGTTTTTCAGTCAGTTTTTTTATATATATACATATATATATTTCCCTGTTTTCCTTTGGCTAATCAGTGTGAAACTGAACAATGGCCGAAAGCATTTCTTACCTGGAATATGCTCCAGGGCCTCGCTGACGTCCGTTCCAACTCTTGAAGCGACAGGACAGAAAACCAGAAGGTAGTCACTTTCTTCTGGAGAGTTCACCTCAGTATGACCAATGCTTTCAAGTTTTTTAACAATGTCTTCATGAGCCCTATTAGTTTCTCCCGCCAAGAAGACACAGAACGTTTTCCACAACACTAAAGACAGAGAAGAACATTTGACTCATTATTGCGTTGTAGCATTGGTTTTGTGTAGCTACACCATCAGACCCAGAAGAAGACAAATATTGCCAAAAAAAATATCTTAAAAAAAGGAATTTCACACATCCCTGATCTCTCTTAAGCTTTAAAAATGTGTTGCATTTTCATATGATTATAGCAAAAAAATAAAAACTCTTTTCTTTTGTTTTTGTGTCAGTGGATATGTATTATGTAAATGAACACATCTTCAAACCATAGATATACAGTTTGTTACTTCCTGTTTAAAGCTGCTGCGTGTACAAACCGGCCACAGAAATCCGGAAGCACTAACTGCAGGTGCATGCTGAGAAAACTACTTAGCTACTTTAGCTTCTAAATGCTCCGCTATATTCTCCAGCTAGTCACTAACTGTGTCTGTCTGCCATTTGGTGCTGGGCAGCATACAGCAGGTTTATCAGAGCTTTTTCCCTAAACACAGCTGCCTGCTGTGGCAGAAAAGAGTGAACTAAAATAGCAAAGTTGTTGGCCAGAAAAAGAACTAAAACAAAGAGCTGAAAGACACAGAAACTGTTGATGATTCTCTGGAGGTTCATCATTACGAGCAAACCACTTTCACTTCACTTGTTGTCGGTTGATCCTATTATAAATATATTGGTAAAAACAGCTTGTTTTTACAGAAATGTTATTAATAATGCTATTGTACTGACTAAATGTACTGACTAAATGTAGTTTATTCTCTTTAAAATTGAGATATTGTAGTCTTGATAGAGCAACATGTTGTCAATTAACAAAGATAGTAAATTAGTTTTCTCACCAGCTGCCACTTCCTGGTTCATGTTTCTGAGAAAAAGATAATCAGACAGGAACCGTTAGTCGACATCATTTAAAAAATGAAATGAAGCTAAACAAGGAGGTGTATGCGTCACATATTGCTTTCTCAAAGCTGTTCTGCACAAGCTTGTGCACAGCCCACAAAACACAGTTAAAAATACCTCAGACATCTATAATCTACAACCTATAATGATGCATGGTAGAGCGTGAGCAGTTCACAGCCTCACAGGTATTATTCAAAACATTTTTTGCATGCCTACTTACGAAATAGATTGATAATTTCTTTGTGATGTCTCTGGCATATCCGCCCCACACTGGACAGGGAAGTATTTGAGCTCCTCTGTCCTTTCAGTGTACTTTTGTTTTGACAGTCAACGTGCTCTCAAGTTGACCACTAAAGAGGAAGTGCGTAGAAGTGAAATGTGTGTGTCAGTGTGAAACAACCGATAAGACGTGAACACAGCAGGAGAAAGGGGTAACTGCAGAGCACATTTATACAACACTTGCTGGTGGAATACACGGACGCTGGCGGATACTATGTGTTGGCTTTAGACTACACAAATAACCTACTAAGTTAGTCCTCTTACATGTAGGATGAACGGAGTCTAAACTTGAAACTGGTTGGCTGTGGAGTAAACCACAGATCCCACCTCTCCACACAGGCACACCAACCGACCACAAGGACTGGTGCAGGGACGAGGACGTGACCCCTCGTCAGCTCCTCACTTATTATTTTTCATTATTCTGGTGAAATAAATCAACTAAATGACACAACACACAAATACGATGTAGTCACTTGATTCATTTGAGTTTATTCTTTATGAAGGAAACACATACAATCCTAATGTCTGAATGAGCACAAAGCAGCAGCAATCATTATTTCACTGTGATGTTTTTACTTCATTCATCACTTGATAATATTATACCACACGTGACTCTACTTCACATTTAAACAGTACATACCACAAAGTTTGTATCTCAAAAGCATAACTACTGAGGTTGTAAATTTAGTTGTTAGCCTGGCTTTACATTCTTATTAAATGATTTTGTTACATTTAAAACCCAGTATTAACAGGAAGAGCAAGTACAGCAATCAAAAACTATTTCAGTCTACATTTAGCATGCCATTACTGCTTTCTGCTACGAACTGGCTTCCAGCTTCACAAACGGCTATCTTCATTTTCCCCTGTATTTTGCTTCATATAAAGTAGTGATCGAAAGCTTCAGCAAAAAAACATCTACATTAGCCTCCACAACTATAGTTGTTGCAGATGATTACACGTGCATTTCACAGAACATTTACTTTGTCCCTCCAAAAACATCCACTGTATTGTTGTGGTTTGTAGTGTTCCTTTTGACATCGAAGACTGTGCCAAAGATCACCGTCAACAGCAGCAGCAGCAGCAGGAACAAAATGACTAAAAAGACAATCAGCCACTGACAGTAACTCAACCCTGAAGGGAAAAACAGATACATTAGTCACCTGGGATCATTTACAACTCGAAACAACTGAATAATTTTGATCACATATTAGATTAATAATATCAACATCAATATCCCTTAATTCAAAGAAAAGTGAAGAAGATAGACTAGAAAAAATCTGACCTGAAATCTGAAGTTCATGAATGCAGTCACACTTACTACTGGAATAGCAGGGAGAGATCTAAGGAAAGAAAGAAAGAATATAAATGAATTAATGAAACATCATTCATCATTTCAGAGTAAGACTGGAGTAATGATGCACTTGATTGTGTGATAGTATTAAACCTAGAATAATAAATCTAGTCATTACCTTGGAAACTCCAAGATACTTCTGGACATCAAACCATGCAGTATCATTTCGGTTGGACTTCAGGAGTTTGTCCTCATAGAACAGACAGTCCACAGT